CAGGAGGTAGTACTAAAATCAGGTACCAGGACCGTACAGGGGAAGGGGTTATGTGCAATCCAGTGATTGTTAAATGTCAGTGTTTTCACACCTTAAGTGTTGGCATTAAAGCACCATGTGTAAACACACAGCTTGACTGCCTGTGTGAGAGAGGAGCAGCCCCTCCCTCCTCTAATCAGAGATCAACAGAGAGAAAATACAGTGGAAATTCAAAGCAAGTCAGTCGGCGTCCACCCCCGAGGCTACACTTGGTGATGGTTAAGTATGGGGTGTACCGCTCGTTAGGTTCTGATAGTGGAAACACAGCAAAATGTAAAGCTGTGCCAGATCTGAGTAAATTCATGCTCTACTAGACTTTATTAACCCTACTAGTTTTCATTGATATTTTTCATACTTTGGCTGGTGTGTTAATGAATCTGGTATTAAATTCCATGTTTTGTCGTATTATAAATGTCTTAAAGGTACAGTAACTTGTTTGACACAAATGTAAATTGTGAGGACCAATATGGATGTAATTCCTAAGACCTGTTGTAGCTATTTGGAGCCACGTCTGTTTCTGGTTTCTTCTCTGCTCAGACCTGTAGGCAGACAAATCAGACAAATGAGGTATTTTGAAACCTTCAGAAGGATCAGTTGTACTGTCTGATGCCCATTAACGTCTAAGCTCAAAGCAGCAGAAGCCTGAAAGAGTTCCCTCAGGAAAAGTGTGTCAAGTTAGTGAAATTCAGTAAACACAATATTTCTATCCACGGTTCAGTAATGTTGAAGGGTCGGCCTGTTGGCAGCACTCAGCTCTTTTTTATTCGCTTTGTCTGTTTGCGTTTGCAGACTGAACAAAGTGAAGCAAATCTTTTGAAGCTCACAAAGTTGGACGTAAAGCAGAAAAAGTGATTTGTTATGGAGACTGTGAGAAGTTTTGTTATAATAGATGTCACCAAGTGTCACGGTTTCATTTTGAACTCATCTGTGAGATATTACTGCTCAGGAGCTCTGGGGAAGCAGAGAGCTCCTCTCATCTTATGTGAGAGAGTCGGTGTGAAGTGGCTGTGACTCTGAGAGTCACTGGTGTGGCCCCTGGGCCAGTGGGAGCCAGTCAGAAGGCTGCTGTATTCATGAGTGCTCAGTCTTATTATGTATTACTTTTATTTTATTGTTAGAGATTGATCACCAGCAGTCTGTACACACTGTTTGACCAGTTTTAAAGAACTTGCTTGATTTAGCCCATTTTAGTGCAGATTATTTTACACTGAAACATGCGGGCTGTGTAAAAATATAAAGTCTGCATTCATTGTCACAGTTACATTAAGAGGTAGAAGTGTCATCTTTTCAAATCTATCTTCACTTAAACCACATTACCATGCAATAAGATTGGAACAAATAGTAGTGAAGCATCAAGAGATTTATTTTCATATCATTAAAAAAAAAGAATGGAAACAAGGATAACTGTTCTTCTTGTCCGCATGGCTATGAAAAAACCAAACATCCAGTTAACGTGTGCCTCTCTCCTTCTTTAGTCCTGGACTGGAGGATGACTGATCCAAACCACCCCATGAACGCCCTGATGCGTCTGAACCAGATCCACCCGGGACTCCAGTACCGCCTGCTGTCCCAGTCCGGCCCGGTGCATGCTCCCATCTTCACCATGTCTGTGGAGATTCAGGGAACCACCTACCAGGCCATGGGGAACTCCAAGAGAACCGCCAAGCTCCAAGTAGCCCTCAAGGTAAATCTACATTTGTTTCAATCTGGTAGGTGTAGTTTTAATAAAATTACCATTTCTAAACATTAATAAATGGGTTTAACACATTCTAATGTCATTGTAAGCAATAACTTAATTCTGTTCACCCCTGGAACCAGATAAACTGAACCACTACCATCCTCTTGAGAAGGTGGCCGGCGTCACGCATCTGACTGTGCTACAGTCATTACTGAAATGGATGGCAGTGCGTGGTTGTGCTTTATTTATCACATTAGAGTTGCAGAACTTTTAGAACTGGTTCAACAGCATCACTGTCACTGACTCATTATGATGAAGCTGTTTCCCACTCTCTCATTTTGAATTCTGATTTTTGATTAGGCCCAGTTTTTCCAAGACTTTTATTGTGTTTGAAAATTCTCCCAAATGTCCGAGTCATATTATAGCTGTGGAGCTGTTATTAACTGATGTGGGTGGGCTTTTTTCCCAAGTAGAAATTCCAAAATATTTCCTATTTTCAAACAAAAACATGTCAGCTGATATAGTGTAACCTACCTTGAACATGCTCCTCCTCTTTCTGCTCTTACTGTCACAGCAACGTTTTCTTTGTTGAACTCTTCTGATCGAGAACAAAGAATGTTCTTTTTGCTCCGAAGCTCTACTGAACTTGTTCAGTTTGACTGCTCACACTTGTTTTTCACACGTTGATTCATTCAGCTGCATGTTCACACGTCAGCACTGCCCAGTTTTTGTGCTGCTGGTGGTGTGGATGGCCACCCTGCAGTAGCAGGTCGGGCGTCAAGTGCCTTGCTCAAGGACAGCTCACTCATAGATGATGGCTGTGAAATTATGACTCAGTTTGCGTCTGTGGGACGGTCACTGACTTTTCTAATGAGGTGACTGTCAGCCTGAGAAAGAGATGTAATGGTGAGGAATGCTGTGTGTTGTTTCCTCCTCAGGTGCTGCAGGCTCTGGGCTACGTGCTCGGCAGTGACGGAGATGTGGACTCGCTGAGCGCCGACGAGAAGTCAGATGGCGAAGGCAAGAATGACAGGATGTCCACCGGCTCCAGCTCCACCTCCGTCACCTCCTCCACAGATGCACAGGAGGTGGGGAACAGACACAACACACACATGGATTATTAACAAGTACACATGAGTGGGAGACTGATGCATGGAGGGGCTGCTGGCCTTTTGTGAAACCTCACCGTCCCCGATCGGTGACGTGATCAGGCGTTCTGTCACCGCGACTCGGCCATCAACACAGTGGGGGGGTTAATTTAAAATTCTCACCAATTCATATTCTTTAGTTGAAGTGTCATCAGCCTACGGAGCCCCTGAGGGGTCACGGTGGGAATTTGTTTAATGAAATTCTTTTGTGTTCCCTCTCAATCATTTTTTCATTCCGTGAGCCAGTAGTCGGTGCATTGGTCCCGTCTGCAGATACCACAGAAGTGGAATGGTGTGGCCCTTTGCATTCAGGGATTTCCCTGCCACAGAAAGGCTTAAATAATGGTCTAAATATGTTCATTTCCTTCCAATGATTTTAATCCCCCACCCCCACCAAAAAGAAGACGACATTTAGCTGTGATGGGTGTGACCTGTGCATTTATAGCTCCTGGCTTCTTGCAAAAGGCAGAGATCCAACAGTTCAAATCCACCGGCTGCGAGCACAGCCTGGCTGCAGCTTGGGTTCCTATGTAGTTCGTGTTT